CCCTTTACTTACAGGCATTCAATTAAACATTGAAATAATAGAAACAGGAAAAAAAATGTGTTTGGAAATACTACTGAAGTTCGAAATAGCTATAAATATGGAATTGAACAGAGAAGTACCATGATTGATGACCTCTTAATGCATGAAAAAAACTCACACTTGCTATCTTCCCCAGATCACGAAGCGGATCCACAGCAGCTGATGATGTAGTCCCAACCTAAAGCATGTAAAGCGACCTATTTGGTTAACAATTTATATAAATCTCCCCGATTTATGGAGAAATGATAAAACAAAAGCTATGATATGAATGATGTGGAGAATGTCTCAAGACAATGTTATTTTAAATACAATGTATACGAAACGGTTCAGTTAACTTAATGCAACTCCCACATAATTACGAAAAACGATCCAAGCAGAGCAACCACAGGGACCAATTGAATAAGTAACCATTTTTTTTTTATTACACAATCTAAATAGTTTCCTTACAGTAGCACTCAAGAAGAAGGGAATTAAACCCGAGTTTATGCCCCGTGAAATCGCTTCTTCAAGTGACTCAGGAGAGAGAGCATATTCAGTGGATGAATCCGTTTTCAGCACACGAAAATTTTCAGGATAGATTCCTGCTATCTGCCACGGATGAAACAATAAACAAAATATTGAACTAGCTCTGAGAAATAGGAGAGGTTATATGATTCCAATTGAAATTTAAAGATATACCTTGCATGCTTTATGTAGAGAAGAATGAGTTTGATCCGAACAATAGGCCACGAGCTTTCCAATTGCATCTTTTCCAGCCCGTTTCAAGATTTTGTCTCGAGCAGCCAAAAGCACTACCAAAACTGCTTCGCTTGCAGTTCCCTGTATCACACCACCACCTTGTCCTGAAACTCGACTCCTCCCAATCTTAAACAACTTTGCATGAAAACTTGATCGAGCAAATTAACCAATAAAAGAAATAACATTTTTCAACATGACAATAAATAAATAAATAAAGAACAACAGAGACTATCTATGCCTCAAATGCAAATCAAGGACCTTTGAAAAGTAAAGAAAACCAATACCTGTCGAAAGGAAT